ACAGCGAGATGTGGTGCAAGGCCGGTTTAACCTGGGTTTTCTGAGCCCATAGGCCCGGGCAAAAATTCACAACAGACCCCGTAATAATGGGGTCAGGTTTGTGTACCTCCCCAGACGAGACTCTGCCCTTCGGCATAGCCTCGTTATGGGTTCCTCTCTGCCCAAAGGCAGAGAGTTGGACAAGTAGAGTATCGTAATGCTAACTCTCCTCAACTCCGCTTATTCATATAAACGGACAATTCCATTTATTTATCTGCAATATGACTGTATATTATGTTTCCTGCTTTGTATATTGTAGAGCTAGGTTAAATTTATGGTCCTTAGGCCCTATAGGAGAATTGTCATTTAATTGATGGCACTTTTCTTAATATATGGGATGTTATTATTATTATTATCATTATTATTATTATCTTTCGGGTACCAACCAGAGACTTAAGGTCAGAAATGGCATCATGACATTTTCCACTGAATATTTTTGTAAAATAAATAAATAAATAAATAAAAAATAGAGATAAAATAACCTCAGAGCAAACACATTTTACATAGATAAAGCTCTTCGTAAGAAGTGATCTGTACCTGTGAAAACATTTTTTGCATTTCTTTAAGGCATGGGCTACAGGGAACCATTCAATGGGTCTGTCAGAACCTATCCCAATCATACTGTGGGCTTCAACCACAACTGGAATTACTGATATCTTCATGTGCCGCATTTTTAAATTTCCACCTCAAGATTCTTGTAATTTGAAGATCTTCAAAGATACAATCTACAGGAACTACCATATTAATAAGAACGCACATTCTGTTTTTCTGGTCTTTGATCACCATGTCTGGGCGATTAGCTTTGATTGTTCTCTCTGTGATCGATTCTAGGTGGTGTTCATACCAATTTCTTGCAGTTTCCTCCCCATAATAGTTGCAGATTTTCCAGTGCAGATATTGACCCACCCTGTCATGCCGATTTTTATATTCGGTGGATGCTGATACCGTGCAACCTGATAGAAGATAGGCAATTGTTTCTGGATATTCATTACAGAATTTACATTTGGGGCTAACACAGTTTTTCAGAATGTTTGCTTGATAATTTCTAGTTAGCAAGCTTGGCTCTTGTGCTACAAGAATAAGCCTTCAGTTTCAGCTTTTAACCTTGTTCTACGTAATCACTGATGTAGATGGGGGTCTATATCAGCTTGTTTTAGACGGGCAGAGTATTGACCAGGAAGAGGTTTATCTTGCCATCGTTTTTGAATTTGGTTCATTGCATTTGATTCTGCATTAATTTTTAATTTTTTGGCCGCTGCAGTAGGTGTATTATGATTTACTTGCTTTTCTTCATCCACTTGAAATTCCGTTTTGAATTTGTTGGCTTTCTTTATCACGGAATAAAGTTTCTTATTTCATGTTCTTTGACACAGATCATCATCCAGTCGTCTGTAGTTTCTGGATATCTTTGAAGACTGGTTGTTGTAGTTTTGTAAGATAATTCTAGTTGAACTAATCCTCTACCTCCTTCGGATCTGGACACATACAAACGATCAAATCTCCTTCTTCTTCTTCTTCTTCTTCTTCTTTTTTTTCTTCTTCTTCTTCTTCTTATTATTATTTGATTCATTAAGTGTTTATATCAGTAATAATTAACTCCTGTTGCATGGCGTTGCCGAAATGCTACATAAAGAAAAAGAGGCAAAGTTTTACTATTTATTTTTCTCTCTCTCTCTTTCTTTTAGTCACAAGATGTCTTAGGGGCAGGGTGTCTAGTGTTTCCCATCGTATTAACTGTAATATAGAAAGTGCACAGTATGCAATGACCTAAGCTTTGTTGGTTACACACGGACATAACCAAACCCACAAATAAAGAATTCTTTTCAAATGTAAGTCTCTCGAAATTTCATAGGAACTTTGCACACACATACACACAAATAGATGTCGTTGCACACGTTTATTTACCACTTTTTCTATACTCTCTATATAGTTTGCTCAGGCTATAAAATATGTTGTTAAATGTTAGTAATTATTTATATATTCATTCTGATACTTTCTTGTTTGAAGAAACTTCAATGCGTTCACGATGAACTAATGTTACTACACTATCTCTCACACAAATTATATCCCTTCAACAACTGCTAAACAAACAACAGTACTTCCTCGATTATCCGGACACCTTGGGACAAGAGTTGAAAAAATATGTTCAGATAATTCAAAATTCTAGATAATTGAATATCTAAATTATTAAAAAAGAATGAAGAAAAAAGTAATTTTCTGAAATAAATTTAGCATTTATATCATCAGGTGACATTTTTAAACGCTTTACTCAAGGTTTTATCCGGTTAATTTTTTTTACGAAAAAATGTGTCAATTTTTGTCTGTTTTGAAATGGCCTCGGGGTTTTTTTTACCGCTAATTACGAAGTTGGATGAAAGTAAATATATTTGTAAGGCTTGATTCTGGTCAAAAACGCAAACAAGTTAAACATTTGTCAAACATAATCATTACTTCGGTTTTTGAAATTGGGCATTTGATCATCATTATAATCATCTTCTTCATCATTTTCCGGTTATAATTCAGATGTATGGTTTTGTATAAAAACAACGAGGAAATTAATAAGAATGTTTTTATCAAACGTGGAGTATGTTTTTCTAAACTGTTAAAATGCTTGAAATGAAATTTTAGAATGGGTTTAGTTCGGGTAATTTAAAAATATTCGGTGATTTCAATTTTTCCCTTCATTTCATTTTCAGACATCCGAAGTCCGGAAAATCGAGATACAAATAATAATCGAGGAAGTGCTGTGTAGTCCGAGTTCTTCGGATTTTTAGTTTTCCAGCCTTTCTACTAAGTTTTATAAACCTGTTCCAATAATGATGGACACAGCTGTAGCTTTCATGTTTCGTGCATTTTCTTCCGTTCTGCTGAGGTCTAGCTTTTCACTTTCTTTATTGCTTTTTATTATTATTTTATAGCGAACAAGTTTTCCTCTTGTTTGCGACAACTAGATCTGGTCTTATTTATTTTTACTGACAGTAAGAATTTGAGGTCGATACAGTAAAGTTCTGAGTAAGATAAGAACCATTGGACTTGGCACGGTGAGATAGTTAATCATGACAAGCCGTGATTTGTAGTGACAAGAGCGATAATGTCCAAGTTTTATTGCTAACTTACGAGAGACAAATTACGTCAGCGAAAAAGATGCTGAAAGTACTGTAGACTTAAATACCAGCATAACCTGGTTTCTTTTTTTTTATATAACAAATAGAAATAGTACTTATAACCTTTTTTTTTTTTTTTTTACATACTTTGGTCGTTTGCTGTGTCACCTTTCCAGTTAAATCTTCTACTTATAGTTTAACTAGGCTTACTATAATTTCCAAGCCTAAAATATTATATTTTCCTCTCGCCAAACTTTCGCACAGACGCCACGTCGCAAACCTGTTACTATTCTATCGATATTTCCATGGCAAATGTTCAGATGAGCTTCATTCTCTAGTTCTGCCAGTTCAGATCTTTCCATAAGATCAGCTATGTTACTATATATTTGTGTATTTAGGCAGCAATCCTTCTTTCAGGCACATTTCATTGAATACGACAGACAAGGTGCTTTTATTTAGTTTTTTTTTTTTTTATATATATACAATTTCTCATACGATCTTATAATTTTTTTCCTTTTCGGGTGATAAGTTATATAAAAACTGTCCGAATATTCTTTTTATCCGAGCGCTTTCGGCTATACATTTAGCCATATTCAAGGATTTTAACTGTTAAATAAAAAATAGTTTGTTGTATGTATGTTTTATAAAATGTTTTCATTTTTCAAAACGCGGTCAAGATATCATGTCCATATTCAAAGTTAATATTATTAAGTGTTGGCTTTTTTGTTTTTATTAATAAGGCTTCCATTATTTTTAGCCAATTTTTGCGTGTAGATGATACTGTTATATTTAATGTTGTCAACAAGTATGTTACGAATAGTGTCCGGTAGGTCTCCATGAATATTTAAATGAGATCTAATGTGAGCTATGATCAGGAAGGTGTAGAGTGAGTCTGCGTGTCAAACATGTTGTAGTGTGGCCTATAATTATTTACGAATTTTGAAAGATCAGGAATACAATTCCTTAATGGGCATTTAAATTCGTAAATAATATTTACTCTATTTAATTTTGTTCTAGGAGGTGAATTATTATTTTTAACTATAAGGTTTTAAATTTTTTGTAATAAATAATCTAATTTTTTTGCTATTTTCAACTGGTGTTATGCATTTTTTTATAATGTTCTTAATTCTGCATTCATCTGATATATATAACTTTGAACAAGTAGCGATAATATCCAACAGTGGAAGTTATTTGTACCATATGATTGTGAATATTAAGCATGTATTCATTTGTTTAAGTACAATTGAAAGAATAAAATTTTCGTATTTGGAATACATTTTTTGTGCCGTAAAGTTTGCAATTAAAATAAATATTTTTAAGAGATCGTGGAAAGAAGATTCGTCGCAAATGTTGATAAAAAAAAAAGTTCACACAAAGACATAAATATTCAAGCTCACAGTTTAGCTTTGACCGTAATTGCTGTCGTCAGCGAGTCGCTTGATGTTTCGCCGCCTCTGCCAAAACGGGGTAAGCGAGGTGGTCGTGCCGAGTAGATATGCGGGAATTCTTGAAGCCTGGTGATTTGGTCTTTTTGGACTAGAATTTCTGGGACGACTCTTCGTCGACTCCAAGTGATTTACTACTGAAAAATCTTTTCTTTTTATAACCCTTAGAAGGATCGTTATTTAAATTTACTTCAAGTCACCTGTGACATTTTCTAAAATCTGAAAAAAATTAAAAGTAAAAGTATCAGTACATAGTTGGCAGATAACTTTTTAGTGTTTAATAACTTTAAAGATTATTGGTATGGTGTGAGTTTTTGTGGTTTGAAAGCTTAAAATAAAAAATAAAAATAGTGGGTGTATAAGTGTGAAGTAAGTAGAGTTTGGTAGTTTGAATCTCCTCTGTTTCTCCCAGGATCTCTCTTGCCCTTCCCTAGTCTCAAATCTCCTTCTTCCTCGCTCACAGTCTTTTTCATGCATCCTTTTTTTCCTCTCCGACTAACACGTTGCTTCAAGTTCGTCGAAAAGAACAAAATCGCCGACTCCTATTTTCTGTCGAGTTTCTAGTGAGTCCTTTCCATAATTCGTCTTTTCCCCTCAGTTTGCTGTAATGTCTCTCTGTAAAATAAATCACCTGTCGCCGTTTCTTCATCTCCCCCACCACGAGGTAAACGACATTCTATTTTTTCTTCTTTTCATTCAAACTATAGTTTTACATAAATCTGGACAGATAACTCATCTAAGTCAACTGCATGGATCATGCGCTCCGATTAGCCAAATGTGTTTTTTTTTTAGTCTTATTATATTAAGATATTATTTAAATGTTTTGTTTTTGAATTCTGTGGCTATCAGATTTTAGGTATTTTGAATATTTATTGCCGCCTTTTATGCTAATGAGCGACGACTTCCTCAGATGCGGAGGAATAGGGTAGGAAGAGTGTGATGTACAATTCTTCCAAAAGAGTTTGTTAGAATTTAGATTCCTAGAAAATTGAACATTAGCATAAAAGATATAGCCATCGGAACAATGAGACAGACCTCGTTGCAAGGTGAATAGTTGCTACATCTTACCTATGCGTAACCGTGTATAGATATACCAGTTCAGTGAGTCTGGGAACAGATAGTGCCGGAGTAGCGGAGTTTCCAAACCAGTAAAGCTTAGGATAAAATGGTAAAATAATGCATGTACTATATATGACAGTGAATGTTGAACAATTTCCCTAAGGATGAGGAAAAAGCTAGAGGTAGTAGAAATGTGGTGCTACGGAAAGATAATGAGAATTTAATGGAAGGAGCGAATAAACAAAGAAGAAGACTGGTAACAGAAAGAATATTATACTCCGAATTAGGAAAAGACAGCTGAAATTCATTGGACACAATGAGGAGGGTAGTCTTGGAAAACTTAACCTTCACAGGGCATATTGAAGGCAAGAGAGAGATGGGGATGGCAGCAAGCCACTTACCTGGGGAGCTTGTCTGAATGGATGGCGGAACCGGAGTCGGAAGCATTAGCAAATGGAGAAAAACCACTAAAAGCCATACTAGATAAGAAGTTGTGGAGAGCCATGATCACCTATGTACCCAAGAACCGTTGCTCAAATGACATTGCAGAAGAAGTGTCTGTCGCTACTTCATTTCAGCGATCTTATGTAATATTTCTCAATTTTTTCTTAATATTACCCGACGGCACTTTTTATTTTTATTCATTAATTTTATATATATATATATATATATATAAATTTATATTGAATATGCAGACATTAATTCTATTCTGTCAGTAATTGAAGAAAGTACTGTCAACCCAACACCCGTGAAATTTCTATTGCTCTAACATTATTATTATTCATTGATGTTGCTAATTAGATAAATTAATTTTATTTCATTCATTCATTTTGTTGAGGTTAATAACCACTTTTTAATGACCTCTTTATTTCATTATAAGCATTTATTGTTTCCTAATGATGATGAGTGAGGATAATGATGAAGAAGAGAAGGAATGCAGAAAATATTTATGAAATTCTTTTGAAGTACATTAGGTAACCACTTTGCATTTTAGCCGTTCGCTTGTTGTTGAAAATCAGGCACTTTGAAGCTTCCAAAAGATTCTCAGAATTGTATTATGTCTTTGTTGAAATTTTGACTGCTTGTGAATATTTTCTCTTTATGATGTCAAATGAACCTTTATGAGTCAAATTAAATTTAATTTCCGACAGTAAATTAATAATAAGGTGCCTTTCTTCGCCCAAATATTGATTATGGTTCGATCTTGTATTTTTTTTCTTTTTACGAAAATTTGTTTAAGTTTAACACATTTCTGTAACTTCAACAACTAGTGAAACTAAAAAACTATAATAATAAAATATATATGTAAAGTTGAATATGTGAGGTCAGGTAAAAAACAATATCAAATTTCATTTATTTTTTTTTATTGTAAAAACCGAAACGGTTTTTTGTTGTTTTTATCCAATCCAATCATACTTCCTCCAACCTTATGTTCAGTAACAATATGAGATCAGGTAGAAAAAAAAAATATAGGGTTCAAATTAATACTTATTTTTATGGTTAGATTCTAGTGTTAAAGATTTACTTTTAAATAAAAAAAAAAATAAACAATCACCCAGCGCAAAAGGTAAAAAAAACAAACAAACTGTAACTGGAATCACAGCTTCTCTACACTGGATAAAATAAAATAAAAACAATGTAAAAAAAATACTTGTTTTAAAAATGAGTTAAATTTTGTAATGCAAACCTTTATTTCATTATCTTTACTTTATGTTAAAAGATTTTCTTTGCGGTTATATTTCCCCTGTTTTTTGGTGTTTTTTTTTTTTTTTTAAGTCCCATTTCTATTTCGCCCACCGTTTTGTCTCGGAAGCCATTTTGAATATCTCAGTTGCTTACCTGTAAAGTTGAAAACAAAACTAAAAAACACAAAAAGACATCACATTGCATGTCGGGACACAGGTGAGATTAGAAGATATTTACCTGGACGACTTACACTTGAAACATGAAAACTAAAATAAAAATTATACTTTTTACCTGTTAAAGCAAAACAAAATTGAATACATTTTTTTAAATATTTCTTGCTTTCTTTTTTATTTATTTATTAATAAAGAGGATGTTGCCATCGTTTTAAACAGGTGAGTAGCAGAGCGAGTTGCACCTTGTTTTATATCTGCTTTTCTTTCTACCAACAGTCCTACCTAACTTTTTTTTTTTTTATTTTTGCTAATTTTTTATCTGACTCATTTTTTCTTTCTATTGTATTGATTTTTACAGTGTATTCACTCTGGAAATATATGTTTACGGGTAAAAAGAGTACCGCAAAGCACTAGTGGTAAGTAATTTTTCTTTTAAATCCTTATTCGTATACCTATACCCAGGATGACTTAGCTGTAGGATAGGAGGGTGTATTTCAACTTTATTTTGGTCTTCTTGTTTGATTCATCTGAATTCAGGGCCTTTATGGTTAATTTTTAGAAAAATCACAAAAACTTAACGAACCTCTTGCATCCAGTCCCTTACTGGAAACATTGAGTTTGTGTTGTTAAAAGATTTACATTTTGAAAAAACTGATTACAAAAAGAATGTTTGAAAATAATTAAAAAAAACAGTTTTTGAGCCTAATTTTTTTAAGTGAATTTTAAAGTTAAATTAAACCCATTCGATTGTTGATGGATCAATTAATTGGTTAACTTAAAAAAAATTATTTATCAACACTAATTAACTAGTTTTCTAAAAAGTAAAACAAATTACAGTCCGAAACGTCTTAAAATTTCCAACGAAATATCCTTCTTCACTTATAACAACACCGATGACTTCCGTGTTTAATGTGAAAATAAGTAATCAGTAAAGAAAAGTAAAACAATTATTTTTTCTTATATAAAATAAATATTTTATTTTCCTTTTTCTTGTGGTGTGTTTATTTTTACGGTAGATCATGACTAAATAAACTTTCATCCTTCATCACTTTTTAAAAACTTCTGAGTTCAGAATAAGGAGTATTTTAGAAAAAGTTCACTGTTGGTATCTACATTTACAATGTAATACCTATTTAATTTAAATATTTTTTCATTTTTTATTTTGTGTCAGATCAGACTCATTAAAAACGTTAAAAAAACTAAAAGAGAAAGACGTATCTTTCTCGTAAAACGTGGTAAATGCTTATTCCTCAACGAAAGCAAAACTTTTTCTTTTCATTTTAAAATACTTCTCTAAAGTAAACGCAAACAAACAGGTGAATAAATAAACTAAATAGGGAATAGTTTCCCCAATATGTGAGTGGAATTTCACAACAATAGCAGCATTATTTCTGTATTTTCTCATTTTATTTTTTTCTTCGTCGATACGGACGGCGATAATTACTTTTTTGCCTATTAACACCATATTGTGAAGGAAACGCCCTGGCATTTTTTTTTCTCAAAGCTTCTATTTTTTTAACAACATTCGTGATTTTTATGATTATAGAAAATGTAAGGAAAATCTATACAGGCGTAAATATTTGTTGCTGGAACAGCAAAACAAAACTCCCTACTTAAAAGAAAAAAAAGCTGATTTAATGACGATTCGGAATATAGATGAAAATATGAACTGGACATAAAGTCCAGCCTAAAAAAAAAGTTAAAGAAAACATTTTACTTTTTAGATACAAGAAGCAACAGGATTTTTGCTTTATTGGGGACAAGATGAAAAATGCTATTAAAAAAGTTTTAAAGTATTTTAAATGAAATTACCTGCTGTTTGTTGTGTATTTTCAGCTACAAACAAGAATATTTCTTTTTATTTTCTTGTTTCAATTCTGTACGCAATTATCTTTTTAAAAGATTCTCTCTTTGAGGACAATCAAAACTCAAAAGATTTGACAAAAATAGCATTTTGTTTTTAGATAAAAATGTCAAAAAAAGAAGACATAATTAACGAATCGATCAATTCAGTCAGTTATCTTCGATAGAAACTTGATGGTAGGAAAAAATAACTGGAAAGACATTGTTCTAAAAATGATTGTAAAATAAAATTTCTGTGGTGTACAGGGTGGTCCGAAAGTCTTGTCACTCTCTGCTAGGATCGCCTTCTTCAGAAGTGATGGTTTGCCGAATCTTGCAATTATGTCGCACATGCTCTTTGCCAGAATGCAAACGATCATGTGTCCCATACACTTGCAAGCAGCATTTCTTCCAAACTGTAGGATCTCGTGTCATCTCATGTGAAATCGATGACAAGACTTTCGGACCACCCTGGTTTATTATTGACATTTGATAAAAATATCAAAGTTTAAATTTTATTTTTGTTTTTCTCATCAAAAAGACAACAACGAAAAATACCATCATCTTGCAAACCTTCACTTTTTGTTTGATAATCAATGTTGAAACAATATTCGGCTACAATATAGTTTTTAATTTTTTAAGTTTGTTTTTTTGTTACAATGCGGTTTAGGAAGAAACAGTTTGAGAAAAAAAATAGCTCTTTTTGTTTTGTTTTTTTTGTTTTGTTTTTTTTTACTGTCCTTAAAAGTTTTTTCCAAAGCACAATTATTACTGCAAAAATTTTGATTGATAATCGGTCAATACATTATTTAAAAGTAAAACACTTTATTGATCACTGTTAAAACTTTGATTGAAAATTTGACATAAATTTTATAGTTAGTGCTTGCTAGCAATGGTATGTTTCTGAAAATTTTTTTTGAAAAACGTACCATATTTTAAAATTGGGTTTTCTTGAGTAAAAACTTGAGTAAAAAATCTATAAAATAAGCCTTGTGCAGTTTTGTTTATTGGTTTTTATTTAATTTGATCTTGGTCTATCATTTCTTCAAACTGTTATTCAACACAGCATAAAACAATGATTTTTTTCTTGTGTAAAAAAACAAGTGTCTTCTAGTGACAGAGGATTTGAATCTTATTCTTAACTAACACTACTAGTTTACATTAAATTTCGAGTTTATCGTAACTCTATCAAGATAAAAATAACTAACACTATGCAATAATAATTCTTATCTTTTCCATAAAAAGCTAAAATGCTGGCTACATTCATTGTTTAATGTTTGTTGACTAAACTTGACTGGTTTCCTTGTTCACGTTTAACAACATAATCACATTTCTATTTGCTGTGTAAAAGATGTTGAAATTTGGTTTAAAAATGTTTCAATGCTTCGCATTTAGGCTCAATAGTAGGAGTGAAAAACTTCCTTTTTATTTACTTCATTTATTTACGTCAACGACTAACTTAAGAAGTTTAATCATGACGCCTTAAAACAAGAGCTGTTTTAAATTCAGACAACATTCGTACCATGTCCTTGGAGGGGACAATAAAAACATAACATCATATGAAGTCTTACTGTGACACTAAACATGAAGGAGAAAGGAGACTGTCTTGAGCGTGACATACTTTCCACTGTTTGTTTTGTTGTCAAGCTACTGCCCCAAGAATTCATTACTATTTTTTTTCTCTTGGTTGGTGATTGTTTGTCATGGCCTGGGCCATTTTATGTGAATCACTGAATAGTACTTTTGTCCTTATGTGAGAAATAAGTTAACAAACTATTTATATATAAATTTATAACAGGGATTTTATTTTTTTGGATGGTCGTTGATGCCTGTTTTAGCGTGGCGCTTATATGAAATTTCTCATTCATTATTTATTTAGCTCTAACTCGCGAGTGATGTCTTGTACATTTCATTATCGTAGTCAACATCATTTGCATGAATCTGTTTTCCTGTCAGTACTGTATTCATTTTTTTAAAATTTTATTTTACGAACTTAACACTAAAAAACTGTATCCATTCTGTGTGTAGAGACGATCTTGAATGTCAGTTTTTCACACAGCTTCCTTTTCCTTTATTTGATTTTTTTTTTTTTTTTTTTTTTTCAATATCTAAATTTTCATGACTTTTTTAATTTTATACACACACACACACACACACACACAGAGTCTCTAACGTTCACCTTGTACAAGGCCCGGAGTGCCGCTCGAAGTAGAGGGTTATGTTAACTTTAGTAGTTTATATGGATGCGGGGAGGGGATAACGGTTAACTGCATTGTAGTGATCGGGGAAATATCCTCTAGGGAGCCTGTTCCACAGAACAGAGGCTTGTGGGAAGAAGCTATTTGAGTGGAACTTACAGAGGGAATATGGGTGGTTTGCTACTATGTAAGTGGCATGGCAGGTCCTAGCAGTGAAAGACTTGGCAATCTCTAGAGTTCTGTTAGTAGTGTTATCTTTTCCTCAGATCCATAAAAACTCCCTGTTAGTGTTAAATGTAACCCTCTACCTTGAGTGGTACACGGGCCTTGTACAGGGTGAATTTTACTGTTTAAAAAAAAAAAAAAAATGGGGAGTTGGGTACTTACTGGAGCAGTACAGAGAGCCAATCATTTTTCCTGCATCTTTAGTGATAGATTGGATATGAGAGTTCCACTTTAGGTCAGGTGTAAGTTTGAGGCCCAATATTCCCCTAAGGCATGGTACCTCCTCAAGGGGACAGCCGTTCATTGTGACTGACAGTCACTGGAATGTAACTAGTAAAGTTTGGGGGAAATATAGTAATTTCCCTTTGTTTTCTCCATGGGTTTACATGAAAGAGTTGTCTTTCTAGATTGACTTCTCTACCAAGACTAATGCATAATTGACCCTAATATATTACATACAGTTATAAGGAAAAGGTGAGATTGATTCATGCCTTTCCGAAGTACGTGTAGGTGGTTGTAATAGTAGCTTGGAATGAAAAATCAGCAAACAAAGTTTGAATTTCAGTAGAGTTTGTTACCATTTACTTTCATGCAAACACTCATGGGAAAATATGAATCTATCACTTACCCAAGTTATGGGTTAAATAGTAAAACAGTTTGCAACCAGTCTATGAGAAAGAAAAATCTGAATTTTCCAAATTGGGTAAATAGAACTCTTTAACATGGTAATACATGGTCATCTAAGGGAAGAGAAATTCCAACAGAAAACCAACCCTTACTCAGTTTGGGGTGGGGGGCAATCACTTTACCTTATGGAACAATTCTATTACAGAAACTTTCCCAGAGGTGTTATGTGCCAAGAGGTACCAGGAAGAATTAGGAACAGAAACATTACTAATGATCAGGAAGAGAAAAGAGTAATCAGGAGAACAGTAGATAGTGATTGACATTGCATTTAAATTTCTTTTAGATTCAAGTTAGCTGGCAAGTATGGATCTGGAAGGGAGTTCCACAAGTGAAAAGTGTGAGATGTTAGCATAGAATTTACAGTTACATCTAGTCAGCTCGACTGTAAATTAAGATCTCAACACCAATATACTACTGCGCTTAAATTCAATATGTC